TATGAAGAAAAACGTGGCATCAGGATTGGAGGAAGACTCATTAACAACCTGTGGTATGCAAATAGTACAGCCTTGGTTGCTGAAAGTGAAGAGGACTTAAAACATTTACTGATGAAGATCAGAGAGCCCAGCCTTCGATATTGATTACTTCTCAATGTAAAGAAAACAAAAATCCTCACCACCGGACTAATAAACAACATTCTTATCAACAGAGAAAAGATTGAAGTTGTCAAGGACTTCATTCTTGGATCAACTATTAACATTCATGGAAGTAGCAGCCAAGAAATCAAACAATGTATTGCATTAGGCATATCTGCTGCACAAGACGTTTTTAAAATGTTGAAGAACAAAGATGTCAGCTTGAGGACTAAGGTGCGCCTGGCCCAAGCCATCGTATTTTCAATAACCTCATATGCATGGGAAAGCTGAACAGTGAATAAGGAAGACCATAGAAGAATTTATGCTTTTGAGTTATGGTGTTGGAGGAGAATATTGAAAGTGCCATAGGATGCCAAAAGAACCAATAGTTTGTTTTGAAAGAAGTGCAACCAGAGTGCTCCTTGCAGGCCAAGATGGCCAGACTTTGTCTCTCATACTTCGGACATATTGTCAGGAGGGACCAGTCGCTGGAGAAAGTTAACGTGTTTGGTAAGGTGGAGGGTCAGAGAAAAAGAGGATGACCCTCCAGATTGGCCAAGTGACAGAATCAATGGACTCAAGCATGGTAGCAGTAGTGAGATAGGCCCAAGATCGGGCAGTGTTTCATTCTGCTGTGCTTAAGGTCACTATGATTAGGTACTGGCTCAGTGGCACCTAACAACAACCACAAGTTAGCATATGGAGTATCAATGTAGGGTAAGCACGAGACTAGTAACCACAAGGCCACTGGTTTACACTCACCAGCCACTCTTCAGAAATCCTATACAGGGTCCCTATAAGTCGCAGCTAACTCAATAGAACTTAACAACAAGCTAGCACATGAAATATTCCAGTGTTTTATAGTCTTTTAATTTCTCCATCGGAAAGGGAGTATTAGCATTTGATTGTGAATAGTTAGGAAACAACGTTGAAAACTGAATTATCTAGTTAGCTATCTACTGAGTTCTCAGTAAAGTACAGCCATAAGTAAAGATTTTTAAATGCATAATATAGGAAGTGATTCAAGTTTACTTTTTTATCATGTCTAAATTTGAAGGAATAAAATTTATAATGCCATAGTTTTATAATAAAAACATGATGTGTTTTTATATTAAGAAACACTGTGGTTCTGGAAAGTTTCTTCTAAAGCCCAATAGTAAGATGAATAAATTAGTATAAAGTGTCTTAGCAAATATACTCTATAAAAATGAACTCGAATTGTTTAAGTCATCTCGTGCCTGTTTCTAGTCATTATAGTTTCTAATAATCACACACGGTGGTGGCTGCATTTCAGAATAGTGTTTCTTCCATTTTTTTAAAGAGAGGTGGCCAGTATATGTGGAACTGACCAATGGAAAGATATATGGCTGTGATTTCATTGTCAGTGCTACAGGAGTTACACCAAATGTAGAACCTTTTGTCCATGGCAACAATGTAAGGAAATTTTTTTATTCTACTATTTATGTTTTAAATTTTAAATCTTTATGAAAATCTCTTAATTCTTACGCAGTGAATAATTAATTGTTCATTGTTTTAGTACAAAACTATACAAAGATTTCTGAAAACAATATGATTATATTCATGTCTTGATTGGCAGTATCCTTTACTATTTAAGATTCTTCAGCAATATATAGCCTAACAAAAATGCCATCATTAATGGAAATAATGCACAATTTATTTATCTAAAACTTACTAAGCGATTTATACTTACTGTAAATTCTTCAAAAAATTATTCTTTCAAAGAAACCAACTTGTATTTTTGCATTCACATCTTATTTTAAAAAAAGGGATGTTCTTAACAATTATGGGCGAAGTAATCAAATCGTTGTTGGTTATTTTTTTATATTGAAATTCTAGGAATTCTAGGAATCTCTCTTCTTTGAAATTTGATTCACTGGAAATTCAGTTTTAGGTATCTAACCTTTGCAGCTGTGTTCATCTTCTCATTAGATATCATGATAACAAGGTATAAACATTGGACTTGTTCTTTTACTTTAGATTGAAAAAGTCATATTTCAGTTTTTACCACTTAAGTTTATAAGGAAAGTTGATTAGTTTAATCTAGGACAAGATGGCGGTCTGAAAGTGGATGACCACATGCACACATCACTTCCTGATATCTACGCTGCAGGTGATATCTGCACTGCATCATGGAAACCCAGCCCAGTCTGGCAGCAGGTAAGCCAGCCTTTGTCATCAGATGTTATATCAGAGATCTTGTGTGAAAATAAAGCAATTGCTATTAGAAAATCTTACTTTCTGGTGTACAGTACTACTACTTTATTTAGGAAGCTGTCACAGACTTGCTTTTTTGACATTAAAAAATAATTTTTCCCTTCTTGCTAAGTTATAGTAGTAATTTTAAAAAGAAATTAATAGACTGTTACTTTTTCATTCTCAGTGCTTTAGCAGCACTATGCAGTATAACTTTCTGTGATGATGGAAATATTCTAGAATTCCTTACTGTCCACTTTGGTAACAGCTCCACATGTATCTCTTGTGCACTTGAAATGTGCTGGCTAGTGAGCATGAGGAACTGAATTTTTAATTTACTTTGAGTTAATTTAAATTTAAATAGCTGTATGTTGCTAGTAGATACAATACAAGACAGCATATCGTTAAATCACTAAAAAACAAATCAACTATAAGAAGGTTATAAACCAGATAGATAAAGCATTCTGTTTCTGGTGACCCAATGCTCTTCTATGGGAATTGTTACTGAAGGGTGTTTCCAGAGTGAGCAGCCTTCCTCAGTCTCCTCTGAAATGAATCTAGCCTCTTCCTGCCTTCATAATATTGCATACTTCCTTATAATTGTTGTTAAGTGCCATCAAGTCAGTTCCAACCCATAACGACCCTGTGTAGGGTTTCCGAGGAGAGTGGCTGGTGAGCTTGAACCACCATCCTTAACAGTTCAAACTGATTGTGCAATCCAACATATTAACGCACAGCGTCACACCAGGACTCCACTTCTTTCTAAATGTGGAGCACAGAAATACTTGAAGAAGATAGACAGTAATAGTCCATAGATGAGCTTGTCTTAGAGAGGGATAAAAGCTTAAGTAGAGGTTCTTGATAAAAGAACCAGTCAACACAACTTTAAGACCAGCTCCTAGATTATCCTGAATGAAGTGTGAAGTACTGAAGAGCTGAATGTATTTGAAGAGGCAGTTATATTATTGTGTATTTGTGTTTTACAGCAGAGACATCAATAACAAAAATGCCTTCAACTGTTTAATTTTTTCTAAAATGGAATGAATTTTTCAGTGATAGTTTTGGCATTTCGATGTTGATAATAAACTTCCTGGGACCTGGTAATATAAAACTATTCTTACCTAATGTAGCCTGAACTCTTTTAGTAATGTTTAAATTACAATTGTATTGAAGTAGATCATTGATAAGGGTCCTCCTTTAATTTTAGAGGCAGTATTTTGATAGAATTAGCAAATGCTAAAATTAGTACAATTGGATTGGTGAGTGCTTCTATAGCAAAGATGAATGACTAGATCCGGTTGATCAGAAAAACTGTCATGACTTTGAACCCCCCTTTAAAGGAATTTACAAAGTTAAGCTGAAAACACTTTTAAATGCTAATGAAAACTGGTATTATATAACGTTTTTACTTATTTCAGATGAGGCTGTGGACCCAGGCAAGACAAATGGGATGGTATGCAGCAAAGTGCATGGCTGCAGATTGTTTAGGAGACTCTATTGACATGGATTTCAGCTTTGAACTTTTTGCTCATGTAACAAAATTTTTTAATTATAAGGTAAGACAAGCTAATGAATGCCTTTATTGCTTGTTATGACTTGTAACCAAATTTAATCATCTAACTTTCTAAATAGGATAAAATTTTACATACTTGTTTTATAAAAAAATTGTCTTTTCTTAAAGTCAATAACTGACTGGCATGATTGTGAGTCTTAATTCCTAAACATCTGATGATCACTTCATATCCTCATACTATTTTTTCAATTAAAGGGAAAAAAATCTCTCCAGGTTTGTCCCCTTTTGGTACATTTTTCTATTTTATTTGAGCTTAATCCTTTTTATGTGAGGAGAACTAATAACTATCACACACAAGAATGAATCAGGAGCTTTTATATACATATTATCTTAATTTCCTTTACATTATTCTACGGCAGGTTTTTTCTTCCTAATAGAAAAATATCTAGATAAGCAGACAGAAGGCTGAGGGAGATCAAGTAATTTGCCCATGAAATATGTAACTGTTCCTTATTAAAGTGTTTAAACCATTTGACACCAGGCTAATTAGGTACAGACATGCCTTGTGTTGTACTTCCTTTTATTGCACTTTGTAGATACTGTGTTTTTTCTTTACAAATTGAAGCTTTGTAGCAACCCTGAGTCAAGCAGGTCTGTTAGTGTCATTTTTCCAACAGCATATGCTCACTAATACTCTTATACCTTGTGTAAGGAGCTCTGGTAGCGTAGTGGTTACAAATTGGGCTGCAAACTTCAGGGTCAGCAGTTCTAAACTACCATCTGTTCCACGGAAGAAAGATAAGGCGTTCTGCTCCCGTAAAGATTGACAGCCTCAGAAACCCTGTACAGGGTCGCTATGAGTAGGAACCGACACAGCTGCACATAACCACCACCACCACCATAGATTGTGTGGTGGTATCATCTGTAGAAGATATTCACCGTTGTTGTTGTTAAGTGCCGTCGAGTCAGTTCCGACCCATAGCGACCCTGTACAAGGTTTCCGAGGGTGTAAATCTTTATGGGAGTAGAAAGCCTCATCTTTCTCCCGCGGAGCGGCTGGTAGTTTCAAACCGCTGACCTTAAGGTTCATAGCCCGATTCGTAACCACTACATTACGAGATATTCACTAGAGATTTTTAATTTTTCTATGGGAGTCCTGTGTGGCGCTGTGGGTTAATGCACCGGACTGCAAAGCTGTTTGAACTACAAGGTTGGCTGTTCCAAGCTCACCAGCTGCTCCTTGGAAACCCTATCACAGGGTCGCTATGGGTTGGAATTGACTCGACGGCACTTAACAACAATAGATGGTGTGGAGTCCTGGTATAGCACTGTAGGATAAGCAACCCACCAGCCACTCCTTGGAAACCCAATACAGGGTTCCTATCAGTTGGAACCAACTCAATGGCACTTAACAACATAGATGTTATGGTAGTGTTTTAGTACCCTTTACAGTGACATTTTTAACTGTAAAATTGTATAAATAGATTTTTCTGCTGTCTCTTATAACATAAAACAAAATTATGGTACTTACTACAATATATTTTTTTTATATATAGGTTGTAATACTAGGAAAATACAATGCACAAGGCTTAGGTTCAGATCATGAATTAATGCTGAGATGTACCAAAGGACAAGAATATGTCAAAGTCGTCATGCAGAATGGACGAATGATGGGAGCAGTCTTAATCGGTGAAACAGATTTGGAAGAAACATTTGAAAATCTCATTCTAAATCAAATGGATCTTTCATCATATGGAGAAGACCTGCTAGATCCAAATATTGATATAGAAGATTATTTTGACTAATAGAGACACTTCAGGGTGCACATTTAATATGGCAAAGACATCCCAAGCCAGCCAGTAAACTGAATTAGTTCACTGATTTAACGATGAACACAGTGAAGGGTAAGATTCAGAAGTGACAGTGATTGTTGTGGATGAATATGGAAAAAAATAAAGTTCTAAGGACAAAATCATTTCAAATATTTGTAGGTATGTTTTTCTAACAATTCACGACTTACTGTATTTTTTTGTTGTTAAGTGCCATCGTGTCAGTTCTTTTGCCGTGTACCAAAGAGTTTGGTATGTTGTGTTTTCATTCTCCTTTGTTTCTAGGAACTTTGTGAATTCACGTTTAATTTCTTCTTTTACCCAGTTGCTTTTCAGCAGGGTGTTGTTCACTTTCCATGTATTCGACTTTATTGCCTTGGTCTTCTTATTGTTGATTTCTAGTTTGATAGCATTGTGGTCTTAGAAGATGCTCTGTAGAATTTTGATGTTTGTAAATTTATAGAGACTTGCTTTGTGACCTAGTACATGGTCAATTCTGGAAAATGTTCCATGTGCACTGGAAAAGAATGTATATTGTGCTGCTGTTGGATTGAATGTATACATCTATGAGGTCAAGCTGGTTGATTGTGGTGTTTAGTTCCTCTGTAACTTTGTCGAGTTTCTTTCTGGTTGTTCTGTCCCTTTTCAAGAGTGGTGTGTTAAAATCTCCCACTATAATTGTAGATTTATCTGTTTCTTCAATTCCAGTAAGGTTTGCTTGCCTTTATAAGTAACATTTCTCTTCTCCATGGCCACTTTTAGTATTCTTTCCTTGCCTTTGATTTTGGAAAGCTTGGGTATTTTATATCTTGGTGACTTTCTTTTGGGGTCTATCCTTCCTGGGGTATGTTTGGCTTCTTGAATGTTTATCTTCTCATCTTTCAAAATGTTAGGGAAATTTTCTTCCAGAAGCTCTTCAACTATTTCCTCTTTGGACTTCTCTGATTCTTCCTGTTCTGAAATGCCCATAATTCTTAGGTTGTTCTTCTTCATGTTATCCATCATGAATCTTAGACTCTCTTCAGATTTTTTATCGTTTTTTTCAGCTTGCTCTTTCTTAGCCATATTGAAATTTGTATTCCAGCTCTCTAGTTCTGGTTTCCATCTCTTCTGTTTTGCTCCTTTCCTCTTTCAGCGTGTTGTCCATTTCTGATATCTTATTATTGATCATCTGGACATCTTTTTGCAGGTTTTGAGTTGTTTCCAATGCTGAATCAGTTTTATTTGATTGCGCCTGACTTCTTGTTTTCCTCCACCCCTTTTCGTAACATTTGAATTTGTTTCCATATCATTCTTCTGAATTCTTTCTCAGGTATATCCAAAACCTGCTTTTCCTCTATAAAGCCTTTGTCTGTCTCCAACTCATTTGCATCAGCTACTCTCTTCTGTTTTTGGACGTGTTTCGACATTGATTGTTGCCTTTTATTCATTATGATAGTTATGTGTTGGGTTTTTTTTTGTTGTTGTTGTTTTAAAGCTTAAGTGAATATTTGTTGTTGTTGAGCTTACTGGGTGTCAACTGGTGAATATGATCAGGATATAGGCTTCCTTTTTCACATGTAATGCTTAGTGGGTGTTGTTGGATCTTGTTTCAGTGGTGGAACATTATGGGGTATGCATATAGCTTGGCTATATGGCCACGATTGCTGTCTCTTCGTGGGTAATGTAGGGAGAAAAAGCTCCCACCTCCAGGAAAGATGTGTGATCAAAAGGACCAAAAGCAGAACTAATATAAATGCATAGACAAAAATCACCGCTTTGGAACAGAAATGAAGCTGTGGTCAACTGTCCCGAGCTACACCATCAGTGTGTGTACAGTTAGAAGCCGCCAGCAGGGGGTAGGGGTGTCCACTCTCTCAGGCCCCTCCTCTAGTCACTACAGTAGAGTTGCACAGGTAGATCTTGGGGGGTTAATGGGAGAAAGATTGTCTACTATATTTCTCTGAAGGTCAGTTAGGTATCTGTGAGTGCACAGCCCAATTCTCGAGATGGTTGAGTCCTGTTATGCTGGGGTTTTACAGGTTGCTTTGAATTGGTCCTACACAGGGAGCTCAGTCAGCACAGCGGCTATGGACCGCAAGGTCAGCAGCTTGAAACCACTAGCCACACAGCGGGAGAAAGGTGAGGTGTTTCTCTCCCACTCAGACCCACAGTCCCGGAAATCCCGCACAGGGTCATCTGGAGTCAGAACCTACTCCACAGTGCACTGACACAAGGGGTTCCGCTGGGGTAACTTTTAGATTGGTGGCTCCGCAGCTCCCTCTGTACAGTGGGAAAACTGTCCCGTCTGATGACTGGGCTGAGCAATGAAGGTGGGACAGGGAGAGAAAGAAGGAAAGTGGGAGAAATGTGTAGTCTCCCGCATTTTTTTTTTTTTTCAGATGCCTTTGCACTCCTTTTAGCATGGTTTTCTGAGTTGGACTGGCTTTAGCCCCGTCCTCTAAACTCTGCCAGGGCGGGGTAGACACTGAGGAGTCCTGTCTCCAGACTAGATTTCTAACTCTGTATTTTCCTTAATATTGTCATTTTTTTTCACTAGTGAGTGCAGGAAACCTACGTCCTGGATCTTATGGTAGATCCGGAGCTCTGGAGTTGTTCTGTGAGCGCTTTCTTCATGAGATACCCCTCCCTGCTCACCAGAGTACCCTTCCTGGTTTTCGCTGCTGTAGCCCCAACTGGAAGTCCACCCCATCGTGTCAGTGCTGACTTAGCAATCCTGTATAGGGTTTCCAAGGAGCGGCAGGCAGGCTTTGAACTGCTAACTTTGCTGTTAGCAATCCAGTGCTTATCCTACAGTGCCATACCAGGACAGGACAATAAGTAATTTAAGATTTCGTATACTTGCTGAATGGAGTCCTGGTGTGACATTGTAGGATGATGCACTAGACCACAAGGTTGGTTTGAAGCACAAGGTCGTTTGATTCAAACTCACCAGCCGCTCCTCAGAAACTGTGTACAGGGTCGCTATGAGTCACAGCCAATTCAGTGGCACTTAACAATGATAACAATGACATACTTATTGAAATCTTAATCATTTCTCTGTTTTAAACTTAGACGTGTTTACTTGTGATTTAGATTTGGAGCAAATTTAGCTAGGTGCTTACCTTGCTAGCCAAAATGTATTCTTATAAACTAGTCATTCTCCAATGAAGATTTTGAGATGTCAAAACAGGACTGTGGGTTTAATAAACTTTAGTTTTATTCTGCTCAAATAGATATTGTAGCAATATCTTATTTGTTGTTGAGTATTCCTTTATTGTTTGGCTTGTACAGCTGTTTTTATAACCTGAAATCATCCACTTTATTAGCATAAAAAATATTCCTCAGTTGTGCTATTGTGAAATATACAGTAAGTATAATAATACTATCAAAAGATCACTGTGACAAATGAAAAAGTAAACTACATATGTTAAGGCATAAACAGTATAAGATACTTAAGTGAACTTATTCTCAAGTATTTTACGTTTAAAAGATTTTACATTAAAAAGTTTTATTTATTTCCCTTGTTGCATACTGTAGAACTATACAGGTGGTTCATGATTTCAAACTTACAAAAAAATATATATATGATTGTTTAATATCTCAGAGACAGGGTCTAAAAACATAGGTCTAGCTGTGGGTTAATATGCTGGACTGCGTTTGAACTGCAATATCAGCTGTTCAAGCTCACCAGCCGCTCCTCGGAAACCCTACACAGGGTTACTGTGGGTTCGAACCGACTCAACAACACTTATCAACCCCACCATGTGTATATATTGTTGTTGGTCCTGACTCATAGCAACCCAGCTGGTGAGTTTGAACCACCAACATTGAGGTTAGCAGTCCAGTGCTTATCCTATAGTGCCATACCAGAATTCATATGTGTATATGAAATAATAAAAGTGTCCTAACATTTATGCTTTTGAGTAACTACAAAAACAATAGTTTACACATGCATAAACTTCTTTTCCTGGAGAATTTAGTAACACTCATCTCAGACATCAAGTTTTCTTTTCTTAGCGCCTGTATTCTTAGAATCAGAATGCTGAAGCACACTGGCAGACTTCTTCTGAAAGTTACATGATTTTTTTTCTTGCTTCTTTCCATCACCTTGTTCAGAATTGCAAGTTTGAGATGATTCAACCTGCAAAACAATAATGAAGCAAGTACCCTGGTAAAAACTCAGCTATTCAATTTTCTTGACATTAATAATTTCAAAATACTTATTTTACATTATTAAGCTCTTTAATGATATCTTTATATTCAAATTTCTACTCAAATTGGAGCTGTATCCACCTTTTGAACAAAAGGGCTGTGTTGTCAGTAAAGTAGTCCTGAAGAATATGCAAAGTATCCTTGTTGATAAGTGCCTTCAAGTCATTTCCAACTTATAGTGACCCATTATATAGGGGTTCTGAGGAGCAGCTGGTGGGTTTGAAGTGCCAACCCTGTGGTTCACAGTCCAGTGAACCAGTGCTGATCCTACACACCAGGAGTCCAGACATGAGAAGTGGCATGAATTAGCAGACTTAATAGTCTATGGGTTATAGCAGTGGTTCTCAACCTCTGGAACTGAACAGGCACAATTCTTAACCAGAACTGATCACAACCAATATGTTGAGAAGGTTGTTGTTGTTAAGTGCTATCAAGTCGATTTTGACCCATAGCGACCCGGTATAGGGTTTCCAAGGAGCATCTGGTGAGCTTGAACCACCGACCTTGAAGTACAAATGACTGCAGTCTGATGCATTAGTAGAGTGCATCAAAAGATAAGCATTCAATGTGGTCCTCACATTCTAAGAGTTTGGAAACCCTTAGTCTATCTTAAAATGTCTTTACGTTTTTGCACCAAATATCTCTATGGCAAATGTATTTTTTAGCCCAAATTCAAAATCTAAGGAAAACACTCATCTCTTTCATATTCATCTTGATCTGGGAGAATACTAGTTACAGGAAAACCTATACGTATTAATGTACTTTAGAAAAAATAGAAATTTAAAATATAGCTACTTACCCCAAAACAGCTTTGTGTAGGTTTCTTTACTTGCATGGTAATAGCATGCGCCTCATTATTCAGAAGGTTGGCTTTGGGTCCAATTTTCAAATATGAAATGGTAGCATAAGCAGTAAAACTGTAGTCTTCTCTGCAGAAGATAAAAATCAGCAATCACAAAGGCTTTACAGGAG